ATGGATCAAACATGTATATAGCTTTTAAGAAGTTACTCGCCATAGAATCTTGGGTTCCTGGAGTTGGAAAGAATCTTCCCTAGGCTTTTCTTCTATTGTGCCAATTTGAAACTTGACAGACATCCTTACTGTTTGTGGCTCTTTGCACATGTGTGTCCTTATGTCCTCCAAAATTAAGATAATTTCTATTTCATATATTCTTCTCAAAATAACCATATCATATATAGTAAATGTATAACTGTGTATCATATAATATATACAGACATATTATATATATTATGTGTACTGAATACTATACATAGACTGGATAATTAAAAACCATTTATGTTTTAAGTAACTATTGAAGTGACTGTTTTTCCTGCACCATTTTGCATTCCCGATAAAGAAACCCACAGGTGTTTTCTTGCCAGTTCCTAAAGTGATCTAGCGGTGGCCTGGGACCCGAGCCCTTAGTGACTCCACAGAATAGAAGCCAGGATACCAGAATACCAGGAGGAGGAAGATGTTCAGAGGTCACTCATGCACCAGGATGAACCGCAGTAGTTTCCCCACAAGCAAAATTGAAAGCCACTTGAATGGGTCTTTTCAACCCCACTTGAAAATGAACCCTCTTCAAATAGCCTCTGGGTGACTCTTAAAAGCCCCACCCCTGCCCTTTCCCAAGACCCTATGGGGCAAAAGGTGATAACAGGGAAAAAGAGTAGATAGGGACAATGATGTAAAAAATACTTCACAAGAATACATCGCATCGAAGTATATGACATTGTGAATGAACCGCAGAGGAATTTCCTGAGGTCTTGAAGTTTCTGTGAAAACTTCAAAATGATCTGCTTCTTTGAGGTTTAAACTGGGGGAAATCCACTGGTGGTATTTGAAAAGCCACACAAGTCCTGATTTGGTATATTGAGCCTCACTTCCATGCTGTTTCTGCCAAAAGTGATTAACGGAATCTACTCGGGAGAAAATGTCCCCCCTCCCCCGCCCCCAAACTAAACTAAGCAACTGGCCCGTCATCTTTCCAAATAGCCTTGTCGTGAGGCAGCTGAAGGGGCTGTTCCCGGTGAGAAAAGACTAAACGGGGCAATGCACGAACCGGGACTTTTCTGTTACGCTCCAGGATGAGTGGGAAGACAGGCAACTGTAAATGGACGCAGAGAGTAAAAATTGTACGGATGCGCACTTCATGGTTTTTATGCTTGAACCGTGGTTATGTAAGCGAGTTCTTCGTTTAGGAAACACACACTTGAAACATGCAGAGGAAAGAGCACATCTTGTCTTGCATCTAACAGATGCTTCCGGAAAAACAAATCTGGGCAGTACCAAATAAGGACTTCCTGTGTTTCCTTATTTATCTCCCGCTCACGTGGACTTTGAGTGCAGGAGGGGGTGGGAGTGAGGAGCGTCCCCCACACAGCTGTTCGGGTATGTCTGGAAGAGAAGCCCACCCACATTGCTTTTGGACACTGGGTGTGACTTCGAGGGTATCAGGTTTGTCTGTCAGGGAACCTGCCAACCTCTTCCCTGCTTAATTGGCGTCTGTGTTTCCTTGCATGCCTCCTGAATCAAAACTTCCCTTTCGTCGGGACAACCCCCTGAAGCCTTTTCTCCTTTCTGAATAGACTCTAGTCATTAGTTTAGCTATAAATATTTCCATTTGATGGATTCCAGGACCTGCAAGAAGCTCAAGGTCAAATCCAAAGCCCAGAGCAAGGTCTGCAAAGCACGCGCTTTTACACTGAATTAATTCTTCGTCACTATCACCACTCGGGAATCCTGGCCCGCCTTTACTCTGCCTCACTGTCAGACTGGAGCAACCATAAGAAATATGGAATGCAATGTGGGAGGGTTTGTTAAGACCCTCTTTCCAAAGTGAGCCTAGCATTCCCCCTCAATGGAAAAAGACTGGTTGAACTGAGGTTAGGTGTTGAAAAATGTCACTCTCGATCGTCCCTTCATGTGGTGATATTTGGTAAAGTTACCACCGTGTGTTCTAGAAGGTTCCTTTTTTGTTGCCATAGCCTAAAGTGGTATAGGCCATAATGAGCTTGGTAGGACGGTGCCTAAGGTCGAATCACTCTGAATTCAGCTTCTCTAATTAACAGTGACCACAGTCACAAGCTGCCATGGCTGGGGAATCTGCTCGTGGTAGCATGTTTGCCACCACCCTGCACTTACTGTTCCCTTGTCGCGTGGCAGAACTCTTTCCCCTGTCTTGACGAAACACGCAATCAAGGCACAAAGGAATGGGAGCAAGCAGAGCCCGTTCGAGCTATGGAGGCCGCAGCATGAGGCTGCCTGTTCACATAAGGGTGGCTTGGGAACTAGAGATGTGACAGGCAATGGAACTAGGTTGTAAATCTTTACGCCTAGGCCCACAGAATCATTTCCTTCTACTAGTCCCCACTTCCCAAAGATCCTAAAGCCTCTCAAGATGAGTGTAAAATCCATGAGCCTCTCGGGGACGTTTTATACTCAAACCATAGTCGTTGAGTGTAAGGATTTACAGCATGAGAGATGAAGTCATTTCTTTTTATCTGAAGAGACACAGGAACCATTGGTTCTTTGACGGTTGTACAGACAAGGTGGGAGAACATCTCTGGCGGAAAACAAAGCATGACCCGCAGCAGAATAATGACAAAAGCATGCAGCCTGGACCAGGTAGGCCTGGCAGGTGTGAGGTAAACGCCACACAGGCTTGGGAGATTGTGTGTTGAACGCCTGAATCAAGCCGGATACATTCGCAGCTGTTGGAAGCCGCGAAGGAAGACACATGTCTCTGGGTCACATTACGTCCAGAGCGCCACTTCCTGAACATGGCTGTTTTCTTGTGATCTTCATTTCCTCTTCACACAAATCGAGGATGCTCCCAAGCATCTCTCAAGCACATAGGTAGGAAAGGCCATTGCCTTCTCCTAGATGTCTGTGGGGTTATTCCGTTCCACTTTCCGACTAAAAGACTTCAAACTCTCAGAAAATTTTGCAATTTGTATCTCAAAGAAAGAATTTACACATTTGGGGACTAACTTGAGTGTCTGCTGATGTGAAGCAGATATCATAATTGCAGGGTAAGTGTCACGTATTTTCTCAGGTCATGGATGCTCAGGTGCTGTAGATATGTTGCTGAATCCTGGGGAGTTTGCTTTTCTCTAAATCAGGTTAACTCTATTAATTACCAATAAGCAATAGGAACCAATATCCTTTGTAATTGCTTTTCTGTAAAATTTATTGGCATTTAATCTGTCTTCTTTACCCAAACGAATTTAGTAATTTCTGTGTAGCAACTGTTGATGAAATGGTATGTGCTTTAAGTTATTTTAAACACAAACCTTTCAAATTAAACTGTAAACTGTAAGCAAAAAAAAAATTCTAAAGGATGCTTGAAAATTGATCATGTGGAAGTCTATGACTTGGAAAGTTAATGTAAAATATTTTAGCAAACTCTTTCTTCTTTTCAGCAAGCACTCAATTATTAATAGCCGACCAGCAGTGAGTACAGATCTCACCACTTTGGACTCTGATCCTACGGCCAACCATTCTGGCCAGAGTTAGAAGCATCATCTCAAACCCCACCCTGGAATTAAAGAGCCAGATTCTATGGCTCTACATGGAAAAAAAAATCCAAGTCACGTCCAGGTTTATTAACACTTAGGAAACTCTACCATTGGAATCATAGTCTTGCTCTTCCTTGCTTTTCAGGATTGAGCACTGAACCCGGAGCCTTTTCACCCTAGACACATGCTTTGCCACTGAACTATATCCCCATTCTTGCATTGTGGGGACAGTTTAGGCTGTCTTTGAATGGGAGATCATCCCACCTGTGCCTCCAAAGACTCATCTTACAACTAGGCACAGACAGGTCCTATGTGACGGAACTCCCCCATGGTCACAGGACACTGCCTATTCTCAATTTGAGAACTTTGCAATTAGGTCATCTGTATTTGCTGAGAGGAAGAAAGCCAAACACTTCAATGCCACTGAGCACTTCTATAATTAATTAGTGAAGTGATCTTTGCTTCAAGTTTCCCATGTTTTTAGAGCAAGCTGTCTGATTTGGCTGGGGCTCGGGCCAACATGTGCGTGAGTTTCACAATTCACAGATGTTAGACACTCTCAGTCTCAGTAAAGGAAGAGAATGTCAAGTTTTAAATAGCTTCTCCCTGGCTGGAGCAACAAATCAAACATCTTTACGAACACATTTTGAACCAGAACTTCTGACAGGAAAATGTCAGCTTTCACAGTGGCTTGTCTCACAACTTTGACATTTTCTGATGTCACTCCTTTCCAGGTGGCTACGGTTCCAGCATGAATGGAGATGTGTGCTTGCCGTGTCAGTGACACTTGGGCACCCAGTTTTTATTTCCCCGTTGGACTCTATTCCTATTTAGCTTCTGAATCATATTTCATTCAATTTCTAAATCCACAGGGCCAGGATAGGTTTACAGCCTACATTCAGAAAGGAAAGAAATCAATCTTCATGGCGACTTTGTCTGATAATATATTACTTCTTGAATTATGAACAATATTATTTTATAGCAAAGTAGGTCAAGAGGGATTAAAAGCGGCAAATATGAGACCTAAGAGAGTGAAGCAGACCAATAGAGTTTGAAAAAAAGTTTCGTTATTTTCCAATGAGAGTTAATTTGAAATAATTCTAAGTAAGTATTCAAAGACAAAAATAATTAAAAAAACTTATAAAATAAAGTATCCATTCCTATTTTACAAACACATTTTAAACACTGTTACTTATATCTGTATGGATAAAATAAAAGAGTACAGTCTCTTTTATTTAGGGCAGAAAAAATTCTAGGGACGTAGGCATGATAACTCTCTCTGTAGTTGAAACGAAGAGTGAGTTCTAGGTTAAATATAATCAAGGAATTTCCCTGTCTTTGCTATTTGAGATTGTGACCACAACAGGCGGTTGGCTGAAAGGGAGACTCAAGGGAGGAGGGGGGTGGGGAGAAGACAGAAAAAAAAAAAAAACTCTCCTAAGCTTCTCTGCAAAACATTCTAGCCCCAGTAGCAGGGCCAGAAGCTCTCGATTCAAATCAGGATCACGATACGAGGCGGTGTTACACAGCTGAAGAGAGGCGGACATTTATTAGCTCAATGACACAAGTCTTGGCTCCAGAGATTAACCTCTGATGCCATTCATGCCAACACCCAATCACGAGCAAGATCAAAAGTTCGGAGATGTCTACAAATTGGCAACAAGTGCGGCCACTCTACGTCAAGGGCTCTAAAACTGTGGCAGAGAGGAAGAACAGTTTTAGAGAGGATGCCCAGCTGGTAAGAACTGACTGTTTATGATGCTCTAATGACTTGAAGACTCTCATTGGCTGAAAGGAAGAAATGCCCCGCCTCTTTGCAAATCTGAGCGAAGAGGGGGAAGTGTCTCAACTTCTATGTCTGATGGCATTTGACCCTATTGCTTTCAGCCTCCCTGGCTACATACCTAGATATTCTCAGGTGTATATGTATATTTTATAGAATTGCTCCCCATCTGTTGGTACCAAAGAGAGGTGAAGGAAATGAATTTTGAAACTTCACGGTGTTCCACCCTACAGTACTGCCCCGACCCTTACTTCCAGCGGTGAGTTTAAATATGACATTACTTCTGTCAAAACTGAACTGGTGTGCCTGTGTTTTCCGAGTGTTTCAGTTGGGTATAAAAGAATCACTCCTTGTTTAGTGAGCACAAGGATGCTACTTTGTACTTTGTGTGGACTTAAAGTGATGGTCTGTTAGCATCTTTTCTAGAGTTATCTTTTGCTTTATTTATTGAGTTTGAAGACATCTATTTAAAAAAAATTGTCACACTCCTGGATTCAATAAGGAAAGACAGAGAGAGAGACAGAGAGAGAGAGAGAGAGAGAGAGAGAGAGAGAGAGAGAGGGAGAGAGAGAGAGAGAATGAAGGATGGGTAGAAGATGAGTGAGGAACTGGGAGATGTAGGAGGTTGGGGGAAGGGGGTGAGTATGATTCTCAGAGTGTTAATCCAAACATGAGGTAAAAAATTTCACGTCATTTAGTTGTTAAAAATATTAAAATGTATTAATTGGTATGCTCGGTTCCCACCCACCCCAGGAAAAGAAATTTCATTGGGCGGGGATGTGATGATCTATTGGGCAATCTTCAAGTCAAAACAGACACAAGAAATTGTGATTTAAATCTCAAAAATAGATGGCCATTGTTAAATGAAACAGATTGTGGCTTGTCATTTTAGCTCTAAAGAATATTTTCTTTTTGATTTGTTTCAAAACAAACATCATCTTTTTGACAAATACGACTTCTCAAACCTGTGATTAAACTGACTTTTATTTGTGTTTGTGGAAAAATATTTACCTAGCACTGAGAAGGAATACCAGCGAGAGTTCACAATAGTATGCCTGTGTCGGGGGAAGAGACTGTTTCAGATTAGAGTTTGCTATTTTTAAACGGGTAAATGAAATCTGAAGAGTGCTTCCCGTGCAAAGCTATGGGAGACATTCACACCACACAAAGCAGTGTGATGCTGTTAATTTAACGGCATGAGATTTGAGGTTGGAATTTGGTACTTTGTACGCCTAATGAGAGAGATCCCGAGTGTTGAAAACGGCGGGGCTAGAAAGGGGTTAAACTGCTGCTTGCCACCTGTGCCTGCTGGAGGCTCACACTAGAATCTGAGTCGGTAGCTCTGGGCAGGGCTCGGTTACCATAGAGCGTTGCCTCGGATTATGAAAGACATTCTGTTTTCATCGGTGTAATTCGCTCTGGCGTAGGACTGACTCTTTCTTTTCCTGTGAGGTTTTTGGTGGGAAAACAGAAAAGGAAAGATAAAGGGAGTAGGGGTACAGCAAGAAAAGAGAGTACAGATTCAAAGGAGAGGGGGAGGAAGGAGACAGAGGCAGAAGCAGAGACTGGTATTGATTTCCCAGGTTGAAACCGGAAATGGGAATGGTCCTCTGAATCCTCCCTTGCCGTCTTTATTAGCAAAACAGTATTAGCAAAAACAAATGGACCCAGATTCTATCTTTTTGGATGACCTAAACATTAGATTTAGCTGGATCTGGGCATAGGAATGATAAAGCAGTAGACCCAAGGTTATTCCGTTTTCGAAGACCTTTTTCCAGTCTCAAAAACCACCCAGGCCAATCACCAGCTTTTGGACCCAAGCTTCTAAGAACGCAGCCATGACTCAGCAGCAGTTTTTATAATGTTCTGTCCCGGGCATTTCCAGAGGACTCTGTTGGATTCCCAGCAGCTTCGCTATTTCCCTAGTTTGTGGATTAGCTAGTCCCTTCCATTCTACACACCTCTTCCTGTGGACATTTCCAGTGGTGGGGCAGAGAAATTCAAATAAAGAAATACAAGCAGAGAAATTGCTTTTCATGGTTCCCCAGCGACCTATTAGCTCATGGAGAGATGGAACCTCAGGTCTCTGCATACTGAAAAGTGCGAAGCAGCATAAGTAAAAGTCTTCTTAAATAGCTTTCAGTTTTAGAGTCGCCTTCCCAGCTGGAGGAGCAGGCACAAGAAAATGTGCAGAGCTATGACACCGTGGTTCAATATGGTCTGGGAAGATTTAGAAAGCTTTTTCTTAGACTAAAATGTCTATTTATTTATAATGAAACAATGTCAAATAACACAGAGAGAAGGAAATGTGACCACCGAGCCTCATAAGCAAGGCACATGACCATGAAAGTCCACGAGAATGTGGGTGTGGTGTGCTCATGCTTGTAACCCAGCACTCAAGAGGCTGAGGCAGGAGGATGGAAATTCTAGGCTAGCTAGCGATATCCTGTGTGAAAAGAAAGAAAGAAAAAGCTATGATGTTTAGTATGGACATTTGATTAACTCTACAAATACTTACATATTTGATATTCGATGTCTCCTTAAATATTTTAATCTTTTTACATAGGTCAGTTTCTCATAGGCTACTATTGTCCCTCCTTAGTGAATTAAGGAGGGAGGAAAATATTTCTGGGGAGAGAGGAATTATGGTAGGGAAAAACGTAATTAAAATGTATTGTATGAACCCTTTTTCAATAAAAAGAAAAAAAAAATCCATGGCAACACAGGAATCCAGTACTGTTCCCCTGGCTGTCCAGTGAGTGAATAACATGAGTTGAGTTTTCTAAGCAGACAACCTTAGTAGTTCTCAGTTTACAAAATCTATTTTAAGAAAGACCAAATTTAATCAGTCCATAATCATAGTCATCTACATACTTAAACTTGTCTTTCCCGACCTTGTCTTTGAGGAAGCATAAAGACGCATTTTGCTATTGTTGTTGTGTTAATGAAGGACAGGGTAGGGTGATATTTTTAACTCCAAGCTTCTGTCATTCAGGAATTCCTTTTTTATACAGAACAGAATGAATAGCATGCTGTTATTGCTGATTGATGAATACTAGTGCCAGTCCAAAAAGGACAGTTTAAATACAAAGTACTATGAGCTATTAGAGATTTCGCTGTTTTTTTTTCTTTCCACTTGAATATATTGACATATAATCGATTTGGTTGTGTTCCGAATCAATACTAATTTCCGTCTTTGCAAAACCTTTTCTGAAAACAAGAAAGGCATTTATATCTGCGGAGCTTATTATATTTGTATTTGTTGACATTGGCAATTGCACAGAACAAGAGAAGAGGGCTAAAAGTCATTAAGTCTGTCATTTGATTTCTGACCCGCTTAACAAAGATATCAGAGCATGAGCAAATTTTGCAAATCAGCAAATAAATCAGTGGGTTAGTTTCCTAATAAACAAAGCATATGTACACTAAGTTTATTGGTTGTTTTTAGCCAGATAGCTAGCAGAAATGAATGTAAAAGTCAGTATCTCAGAATCAAAGTCGCTATGTATCACTTGTGGCATAAATTATGTCCTTTAAGTGATTTTCTTTTCAGCATTACCATCTAGCTTATTAAGTACATTTTTAATCCATTCTGTGAGGCATTCAAGTCTTTCAAAACACCTTTTTAAAATATAAGCCTGTGGAAAAATAAAAATAAATCAAGATTACATCTTGAAATCATGTGATAAGGTTCAAAAATAAAATAAAAGTAAACATCATTACAATGTGATCCATTTATAAAATATTTTATATTCTTTCGCAACAAACCTCTATTCAAAGATGGTTCAAGAGGCTGAAACAATCCAAGTGTTTCTCATATGAATTAGTACTCGATGTGTGTGTGTGAATTTTGTGTTATTTGTTTAAAGGTCAACTTTATTAACGGTGCTTTCTAAATATATCTTAAGAGGAAGGGTGGTGGCAGTCCACTTACAGTGGAAGACCATTCCTTTGTGGAGTAAAGCTCACATAAAGGCAGAAGCATGCCTAGTGTGGGCGTCGTCACTTGCCCTCTCTCCTCACTGGCATCCTTTTTACTTCGAGACAAGGCACGCTGGCTTCCAAGGATGGCAGAGACAGCTCCTCTGCCCTCTCCTTTCTTGTTGACATCAGTCAATGGGATGAGGAGGAAGAGAGTCAGGATGGGCGCCATGACCTCGGAATAGACTTTCTCAGGCTGACTTCTTCTTGGGCATGTAGACCTTGTGAGAAGGGCTTCCCCCAGACTCATGTGTTGCAGCAGTTGCTGTCTTCTCTTTTTTTTTTAAAAAAAAAAATGTTTAATGTAATAAGGACTTCTAGCTACTGTAAATTTCAGGGACTCACAACAGAGCCAATACTTCTAATTACAGACAGAATAAAACACAAAACAACAAACAAACCAACAAGCAAGGATTAAAAAATCTTTGTGTGTTTTTAGGAGGACTGCCTAAATAAATAATACATACTTAATATAATTTCTAGCGTTGGAAAAAGACTAGATGCATCTTTCCATGAGAGAATCGGAGTTGAGTTTCTCTAACAGTTAGGTTTGTCTAGCTGACAAGAAGGGCGGAACACTGTAGCTGGCTTATGCTGTCTAAATTCAGTTCTTAAAGGCCTAAGACAGGAACAAATAGATACATTTCAATTAAAGAGATATTGACTTGTAATTTATGTTCAGGGTCTAGTGTATACAACAGGTGCAGCCCTGAAGAACTACTTCAAGTTCTTACCACAATGCAATTATCATGGTCTATATTGCTTCAGAGATTCTAGTCCATTTGAGTGTTCTAGGGATGGGGAAATTTGTCAGCAGAGTGTGTATGCTGTGTGTCAAAGGTCTGGACTACAGTACCACCTTCAAAATCATCTCATGATGGTTTTGAAATCTTTAGATTGTCAAAATTAAGGCCCCTGGGAGTTGAGATTGAGTTCTTCAAGGTCTTAACATCATCGTGTCTCTGAATTTCTGCACTTTAGAATTAAGTAATATGGACCCTAGAGGTGCTGAGTTGCTGGTACACATCAAAATACTAGCAAAAAGAAGATGAAAATTTAAAGCCTTGTTCAAATTCCAAACTCTGGTTCAACATCAAATGTACTAATGACAAGAACGTTTTATTAGATTCACATATAAAATCTTAGTTTAAGGATCACTCAGTATATCCTATCCATTTGGAAGGTGGAAGATGATGTGGCAGAATGATGACCCCCAGGGGAAGCTACTTCCTAATCTCTGGAATATATGAGTAGACTAGATTATATGGCCAAAGGAAA